ACCTACACCAAACTTAGGAGTTTCTGGTTTCTGGTCAACCTCCTCCCCGTATGTAGACCACAAATAGAAATTATTTACCTCAGCTTTCACGTACTTCCCTTTCCTCCTCCTTGTGAGGACCTGTAAGAGAACACAATTTTTTTTATTCTTGATTTACTTGTAACTTAATCTGGTTTTGACTTTAAAACACAAAACTTGAAGCTGCCCTTCCCCCATCCTTCCAAAGTGAGGTACAAAAGAGGTTGTGTGTCAGTCTCAACTACTTTAAAGCAGGAGGTACTTTCTTAATCTCAGTGAATTGTTCCCCATACTTGTTTTTCAGGTGACAACCTTCAGTTTTAACTTTAAAGTGACAGTATGCCCATCATCAATTTCCCACCTCTCAAGTCTGCAGAAGCAAGCCAATTTAGAGAGGGAGACTTTCTATCAGCATCCAATTACCCTGGTACATTATTACTTGCCAAATTGCACCGTTGGCAGCTTTGTTAGAACTTACCAGAACAACAATTGCAGCAACTATTGCTATCACTACTACAACAATGACAGCAATCAGGCCAGGAGTCAGAGACTTCATGGAAAACTCTGGTGCTATTTCATCAACGTAGTAGACCACTGTCCTCTCAAGCTTCAGCGGTTCGTTATCAATGCTGAGATTTAGTGTGTTACTATGAAAGATGGAGTCACCTTTCACCTAAAAACCGATAGGAAAGGAGAGACTTGCTAGTTCACATCGTAGTAGGCATTTATCCAGGCCCTGCAATAATTCATCTTGCTTTAGCCTGTACGCCCGAATGCAGTGCAATACACACAGCCAGCCTCTGGCAGACTTTACCCAGGACACACTTACATCTTTTTCAAAGTAGTAGGCCACATCAGCTATATCCACGCCTCCAGAATATTTGTCTGAGGAATTCTGCTTCAGATCAATAGTAATGTACGGGTTTTCATACTGCAAAAAATACAGTGTGGTATTAAGAAGGAGTTTAAAGCCTGGCAAAATATTATGATCCACCTCACGAACCCACATCCTGAATCAAGTTTACGATACTTCATCTCAAGCCAGCTGTTTACAGTATGATTCAAATTCCACTTTTTTATGGAAGCAAAGAATTCATCTACAGACTAAGGAGAGCAGTGTAATTTCTCAGCATTCAGTTCAGATACAGCTATTTGCTAACTGCTTAATAAGTGTCACTACTTTGAGAGCTTCTAATAAGACTCATGCTCTACTGCATTAGTCAAACAAGAGTTTTCAAAGTTACTCACAGCAAAATAAAATAATGATACTTTACTAAAAATTATGTGCCTCTTACCACAACATTAGTTATATAGCGTCCATTCAGCAAATAACGATTGGCAATTGTATCCGTGAAGAACCTGTAAGGATATTAAAGCCATGTGTTAGAAACAGTACTATTTTACACATATAATTTCAGAAGCAAAAAAGACCAGTGTAATTGTTTTTTCCCCGCAGTCTCTCTGTGGGGGGTGAGCCTCAGCCAGGAGCTAAATGTTTACCTAGTCTCTCACTCACTTCCCCCTGGCACGATTGGGAAAAGAATCAGAAGGGCAAAAATAAGGAAAAAAACCCCTCATGGGTCAAAATAAAGACAGTTTAATAAGTGAAAGCATTGGGTGGGGGAAAAAAAAACAACAAACAATTGGTGCAAAAGCAATAATCACTCAGCACTAGCAGATCAATGTCCAGCCAATCTCTGAGCAATGGCTACTTGGGAAAAACTTTCCCCCAGATTTATTGCTGAGCATGACATTATACAATATGGGTTATTTCTTCAGTCAATTCAGGTCAGCCCTGTCCCCTTCCCAGACTCTTGCCCACCTCCAACCTACTCCCTGGGGCAGCAGAGGGAGAGTTTGAGAAGGTCTTGACATTATGTATGCCCTGTTCGGCAACATCTAAACTATTAGTGACTTATTAGCACTGTTTTGGTCACTGGTCTAAAACACAGCACCATACAAACTGCTACCGAGAAAGTTAACTCCATCCCAGCCAAAACCAGTACACTCTTTTATAAAGTATACTACAGTTCAGTTATCTCCTAACAACGAAGATGCACTTATTGAAAAATAAACACACTACTGCAGTGTTATACAGAAGAGGAGCTGGAGAGCAGCAGCTTTTGTTCCATAAAATGGAATATCTAATAGCTACAAGCATATCTTTCTTGCTATATGACCTCTTACAGAGAGAAGTAAAATTTTGTTACAGGCAAAATAACTAAACTGTTCTTTTTCTCCCGCTGCTTCTATGTAGTCCCTCTGCCATCTTTGTCAGTTTACTTTCTAGCCAGTATCACCTATCACCTCCCATTTCCTTTAGTATATTGATTTTAGAAAAAAAAAAAAAAGGTAGAAATCAATTTTAAATGGAAACGAATCTCAGCAGTTAATTTATTTCCAATAAAAAATTAAAGCATTTCTATAAAGGATTCGTAGCTCACGTCTCAGATGTCTTACAAATCAGTTCATAAGTTTTACAGTGCTTTTAAACAATTATTTAGAATTACACTAGATATCTAGTAGAGCATGCAGACATGACATGACATCTTACAATCATCACTTACTTCTTTAAAGATTCGGCGTTCAGAGGAGCATTTCTCTCAGCATGTTTCATTTCAATGATGATCCATCTGAAGTATAATGAATATTCTTAAAGCATGTGCCTATAAAACTCATACCAAAAAAAAAAATCTAACCCCAGATTAAAAAACAGAACAGTGAGATAAAAACAAAGCAAGCAAAGTCCCTTCCAAACTCCTTCAAGGTCTCCTTGTTTCTGAAGAAAAAAAACCCAGCAGTAACCAAGTGCTTATTGCCCCATCTTCATTCATTCTCAGCACATCATTCACACAAGGCAGAGCCTCATACAGGAATGTTTTCATGTCACAGCACACCCTGTTGAAAGACTTACATCGTTCTGACTAATTGATTGCATTTCAAGTCTGAATCGTGTTTGTCAGTTCTTCTAACACCAGCTGTATTCACACACCAACAGGTGGTTCCATTGCACTGCTTCGCCTTGAAAGCACCACTGTTTTCACACTCAGGATCATAAAGGCCATCGGTATCTTGAAACGCATCTTTTGGTTTCTCACGACGCCCTGATTTTGAGCCCGTCGCTTCTGCTTTCATCAACAGGCATTTTGGAGTCACTAAAAATAACCAGAAAGTCACGTTCTGCAGCATCAGACCACGCATGTCCAAAACAGAGCTCTTAGTCCGTAGAAACACAGGATTACATCAGCAGCAACCAGATTTGAAGCCATTACATGGAAGAGCAGGTGTCTAAGGTGTAGGTGGTGCATAAAGTCAATACAATCGGGTATGTCGGCCTCTCAAGACAAAGGCCTAAGAAGTCCAGCCTTAGGACTTACAGCTTCCATTTTTTACAGCTAGAGGCTCACTTACACCTTAGCTGAGCTCAAACCTAGAGTAAGGTCTTGAGACAAGGCTCTTTCCTCTCTAGATTCGTAGCAAAAGTGATAATATGTGCTTGTAAGGAAGCTAAATATTCATCTTTGAGGAATCCTTGCCACTAGAGAACGAATATAGAGGAGGAGAGGAGAGCCTGCATCAATATAAGCGTACACACTTCCACAGAAGTCGCACGGGAGGAACCCTAAACGCTTATCTTCCGTCGCCACTTGACCTGGAAGGCCAGAGAGAAGCATTTCTTCTTTACTACCATTATTTGCTGAGGATTCAAGGGTCATTTTCACCTATATTCCGGCGCTCTGCCTCCCCACCGTGCCCTTTTTACTCACGGGTGTCGCAGTACACGGTGATACTGGAGCCGACGGCGTCGCACAAACACTTCGTATTGTCTATCCTGCAGTTGGTGACACGCTTGTTCATGTCGCAGATGCACGCTGGAAGAGAAGCGCGGCCGTGAGCAGGTACGGCGGGCAGGGAGCCGGGCAGGGAGCCGGGCATCGCCGCCCGCGCCCTGCCGCCGAGAGCCGGGAAGGACGGACAAAGCCGCCCCTCGCCGCCTGGGCGTGGCGTGCTCGCACCCCACCGCTTCCCACCTGGCCACCCGCCTCCCTCTCCGAGAGCGGGGCGAGAGCTTTCCCTCGGAACGCCCGGGCTCCCCTCGGGTCGGGGACAAAGGGGAGCGGGCCGGGCGGTTCTGATCCCTCCCCGCACCTCCGGAGGAAGGGAGGGGGGTGCAACTTGGTGGTGGCGCCGCCGGGGCGGCTCCGGGGACAGCGGGGGGCGGGAGGGGGTCCCGGGATGGGGGAGCTCCGTCGGGAGCGGGGCGCAGGGCGGACGGAGGGATGCGGGTACTCACAGCTCTGCTGGGCACAGGCGGCGGTGCAGAACAGCAGCAGCAGGAGAAGCGCAGCCCCGCAGAGCGGCTTCATGGCTGGGGCGGGCGGCGGGCCGCGGGGAGGCCGGGGGAAAGTCCTCGGGGACGCGGGCGGACGGGGAGCGGTACGTGCGCGGCAGCGGCGGCGGAGCGGAGTGAGCTGCCCGACAGGTTCCGCAGGTGGAGGTGGCTGCGCCGCGCCCTCCCGGCTCCGGTTACACCTGGGACGCGGGGGGGGCGGCGGCGGCTCCTCCCCCGGGACAGCCGAGCGCGCATTAAACCACCGCCGCCCCCTCCTCCCCCCGCACCTGGGCGAAACTGGATGGGGCAGGGCGGGAACCGCTCCCGGCCCGGCCCAAGCAGAGCCTCTTTGGCGGGATGGGGAGGGGGAGCAGCGGAGCGAGGGGCGTCCCGAGGCGCGGCCGTGCCCGGTAAAAGGGCTGCGAAACCGCCCCGCCCGCGCTGTGAGGGGCGGTGGGACGGGGCTGCGGCGGCGATCCGGGGGACAGCTGCCCCCGCCGTCGAGGAGAAACTGTTAGTCATCGAGGGAGCTCCCGGGCGTGTTTGCGCGGTGACACACGGGCAGGGGGAGCAGAGCCGGCGCCCCTCCCGGCGCGGGTTTCCCGCGCTGGCCGCTGACCTTCAGCGCGCTGGGACGGCCGCCCCGAGGTCCCTGCCCTGGCCGCGTGGCCGCCGGGATCTTCCCTCGGGAGGGCGGCGAGGGGTTGTCTCCGCTCCCCCCTCGTCGAGCCGAGAGCCAGCAGTGAATGCTCGTACTCCATAGTGAGCTTTGTTCGCGTCCGGGGATGCCCTGTGAGCTGCTCTGTGGTGGACATAGCTCCTGATAATTCCTCAGTTATCTTAAAAACCAGAACTCTTGTCTGTATAGAATGAACTATTTCGTAAGGACCTTTGTGCTGGTTATGTGTTTCGTTTTTATTTTCTTTTGTTTGTTTGTTTCTTATACCCAGTAGAGCTCTCTACCTTAGGGGCTGTTCTGAAGAGTCGCTCCTGGTGCTGCAGTATCCGCATTTCCTTGTTCAGGAAAACGTAGTCCTGGGTGCTTTGTCTCTGAGCAGCACAGCTTTGTGGGAACCTACAAAATGGGAAGTAGTGCCAGAGCCTTGCGAAGTTGCTGAGAAGGAAACACACGAAAGCCTGCTGCAGGCTTTAAAATGGCTTTCCTAAGAGTAAAAGCAATGCCAAAATGGAAGACAAAAGATATGCCACACTGGAAATATATTTTGAAGCTTGAGTTTATTAATTCAGTTAAAAAATATGCATAGATCTTTCTGAAAGATATATTAGTACCTGAGAAAAACAAGTTATTTTAGTACAGGAAAAAAACAGAATGACATCCCTTTAAGTCTGTTCCTGCATGTATGAGAAATCAACAGCATTTTCAAAGACTTGAAATTTCCTCTTACCAGTTCACTGTACAATAAAAACACGTTGCTGCGTTTGTACAGGCAGACCGCAGTTAATGAAACTTTGGAAGCTTTACAGGTTCTGAAATGAAATGCAGGTGAGCTATCTTTGTGGGTTTGTCTCTGTGCGCAGCTTGTTTGTGTTGTATCTGGTTTTGTATTTTGTATCCAGTGCCCTGCTGCAATCTGGTAGGTGCTGTCTCAGATGGATCCAAGTTAAAGGGCTGTTCTTTGAGTTTGCTCCTGGTACTGCCCAGATTGGTGTTTTGCAGCATTTATCTTGGTTCTCTTTGAGGTTTTTTGTGGCTTCTTATATTCTTCTGATACACTTGTCAAAGACTCAAAATAAAAGCTTGATCCTAGCAATATGAAAACTTGGGAAGATTGAAGACTCAGATACATCTTGCATTGCTGCTGTCAAATGATGGTGTTTTTCGGAAAGAGGAGCAGCATCAATAGGCTCAGAAACGCCTGCCTTACTGTAAGCTCATTTTCTATGTAAATGTACCAGTTTGTTCAAGATGAGAAGAGTTATCTTGTTATCAAATTGCCAAGCTGAACGACACAAGCCCTAATAATAAGGAACAATAAATTTTATTATAGCCTTTTGCCCTTTTTTCTTATTTTTTTTTTAATTTCAAATACTTAAATGGTACAAAGATAGATGTATCATGTTGCTTCTTCTAGTATGGTGCTTCATTTGGCTCCGGTTTGCAGGACCTAATAAAGAGCTCACAATGTATGATTTCACTAGGTTTCCAAATCTGAAAAAATGATTGTTTAAATGTTGCTCAGTAGTTTTGAAGGGGAGTTGCTCTAAGTGATGTTGTTCCCCAGTAAGACAATGGAAATGAGGGACCATTCACAATAGTGTTGATCTTACCCTCTTTCACAGTCGAGGGAAGTTTCTTCTTAGAATCAAAGCCAGTAGAGCAGGCATGTGGCTAAACAGATACAAGGACCTGAGTATTGCAGTAGCTTTATTACACAAGTACTTTGGTTTCCAGGGGGTTGGGAGGCAGTGTATTCTTTGTAACTTTTGTGGCAATTTTAACTCTTTGTGCTGGAATACATGACCTTATTCAATGGCTATTCTATATTAACTTTCCTCAGCCCACAGCTTTAAAGGTAAGGCCTCGCACATTGGTTATAAACAGGATAATTTTATCAACTGTTGGAGATACCTCCTCTTATCAAATAGCTGAATGCTGATTAGGCAGTGCAGTGTAGGCTAGTTGTGGTTTGCTCTTATTAAATCATAATTACAGCTCAGACAAATTATAATTTAAATGCTTCGAGCACATTACTGACTCTGCCATATAGCAAAAAGGAAAAAAAAGTTTTGGTCACCAAGACCTACATACACCATGTGAAACTATATTTGGAAAACTGATGTGATCTTCGTTTTTCAACTTTTGCTCTGTAATTTACATCTGCTTCAGGTCTGTTTGGAGAATAAAGTTCTATTCACTAAAGTACTCAGGAGAGGTTGACACCAGTGCGAGGAGATTTTCTGTTGACTTCTGTGAACTGCGAATCAGATCTGAGGAGATAAATCCAGCTCTTTCTGAAGCCAATAAGAATTGCTGTGATACTGGGATCTGAGCTAGGTTTTTACCGGGTCATTTCCAGGTCTTCACTACAAATTTGGTAAGTGGGCTTTGTGAAACTCCCCAGGTACAGGAAAGTGGGGAAATCTGCTTTCAGGGAAAGTCGCGAGGATGTGTGAGTCACTCCTGAAGTATCAGGAAACGATTCAAGGTGGGGCTGTGACATGCACTGTGGTCAGCAGATCAGAGAGATGAGTGGAGAGAACATGATCAGTGCCACTGGGGTATTTGGCAATCGAGCTCTAACTGAGATTCTTCAGAGGCTGCAAACCTGATTGGTTTTGGGTGTACCCTTGTGAAGATAACCAAAGTCTGGTCCCTAGAAAATAGGTCATGTATTATAGCAGATAGCAAAACATAATGTTGCTAAGGTTTTTCTAACAAAATCAATGGATTTTCAAAATTCATTATGGCTTTTAACTGGTTAAGGCTGACAATGATAGAAACAATCAGAAACATTTATGCTTAAAAGTGCCAACAGCTATTTTGAACAGTAGATGTTGCTATGTATGTCACCTATGTTATAGACTTGCTCAGGAACTTTATTAGGGTAGCTCTAGGATGTTTGCATTCAAATTTTTTGGCAGACTGGACCATCTACACAGAATGAAGCTGTGAAAGGACTGTAGGAAGAGAACAGTGTTGAGAAATTATATACAGTATCTTGTCCAGAACATGTTTCTGAATATTCCATGTCGTCACAAATTGACATATGCTGCTGCTCAAGGAACTGTAATGGTGCTTCTGCGCTTTTTATTTTTCCTGCAGGTTCGAAAACCACCATATAACAGGTAAGTCTTGTTATGCTGATTTGAATAATGAGAACATTGAGAGTCTTGGAGAACTTCGATGTTTTAGCCATATGGAGCTGGTCAGGTATAGAGCCAGTAAGAAAACAAATGAGCAGTCATGTCTTTCTGCTAGACTGAGTGTCTAACAACTTCCAAACGCTAAAAAAACCCCTAGTTTACACGTTTGTTTTTTTTTTTTTTTTGCGTCTTTCTATATTGTGACTTTTTTTTAATAATAAAAAAAGTTTAAAAATATGTCTGTGTATTTTGACAAAATTTTAATGCACACTGGAGATGGAAATTAGTTCAGAGGCAGTGGCAACCCTCATAAAACTGTCCTCGGTTTCAGAAGCCCACAACCTGGGTCTCTGTTGGGCTGGAGACCTTTGACTAAAAGTAAGAGTAGCTACTAAGAGGTAAAGGGCTGTTGGTTCAGAGGTTCATAAAACTAGACAGGGTGTAGCCACAGGAGAGAAATGCTCATGCCATTAACATATGTTCTATTTGCGTCTTTGAGGATTATAGAAACCAACCTGTCTGATACGTTGTGGCATCCTCACCTCTCTGCCAGGGCTTAGTCTTAACTCCAGAGGGTGGGGTCAGTAACAGGTTTGTCATCCTCGTCTTTACTTACCTGAAAATACATCTCCGTGGCTCTATTACTGACAGCATTTTTTAGAACATCTATTGTCAGCATTCAAAGCTGCTTAAAATGAGCAGCACTAGATGTAAAAAACTTAGTAACTCTTCATACCAACTGCTGTGTAGCAGCAAGGCAAGCCTTTTGATTTCATCCTGTGCCCGATCCCTTAGAACACTCCCTGGTTTAGTGAGGTTTGGAAGGGGCTCACAGGAAAACAACAGATCACAAGTTGTAGTTAAAAGAAGCTCCATTTACACTAAAATAGTTTCAATTCTGGCATCTAATACTTTTTCTTTTTCCCTTTTAGCCATTTTCTGTGAAAGAAGATACAGATGGAACTTTGTCAAAACACTTGTTAAAAATTGTTTGAAAAGTCCTGAGTGGTTTTTAACGTGTTTTATCACATGACAACATCTCTGTGCTGTGGGCAGGACTGAGGCAGATGGTTATACAGACAGATAGTTGTCCTGTCTCTCAGCGTGGTGTTATCAGAAGGCACACTGAGTACTTCTCTCACAACCTGAAGGTGTCTGCCATTGAATTTGCTTGTGCTGGACTTGTCTTATATAGGTACAGGTTGCTACAAGGCTAGTGAGGGTGTGGATTTCTAGTTTGTCAGGTAACCCACATTAACAACCTATGGACACAGCTGTGCCCAGCAGTGAGCAGAAGCCGTGTGTTCCTCAATGAAAACAGGGTCACAGCATGCACAGAGGCAGTTTCCAGGGAGCAGCTAACACGCTGTAAATCCCCACCCACTCTTGCCTCACTCTAATTTGTGTGCGTAGTCATACCCCAAGCAAAGGTGAATAAATACACCCATGAGCTGGGCAGAAAAATCTCATCCCACAAACGCCATTTAGCATAACACAACGGACAGCAGAGAGTGGGCTTAAGAAAGCTGGGTTTACCATTGGTGTCGGGGTTTTTCCCCTCACTGAAATAAATTGCTTTTGTATTGTGACTACTTTCACAGTTCACAAGTTTCCCTTTTTTTTTTTCCAGTTAGCAATAGCTGTTACCAAAGTTCATCTGTTTCTCTTTGCACTTTAATTTACAACCCTTATACTAGTCATTTTATTGCTTCAACCTCTGAGTAAGAGAATTTTTACAGCTTGTTCATACCGAACTCGGAGAAACAAGAAGGCTTTTTGACCTGTTGTGGTGTAATTATAGACCCCATTGCTTCTTGGGAGGGGCATTCAATGTTTAACAAACTGTGGCAACTCTAATTTAACTGTGTGGAGCCTGGACCATCGGATGTGAGTTAAAAAAAAATGAAAATCTTGGACTTTTTCCAGCTCACATTTTAATTTGTCTGTTTTTAGTCTCCAAGAGGGCTGCCCTTGAAGTTCTGTCGTCCCACTATGAAACTTCATGCAGCTCCTTTCTTAGCAGTATGAGGGCATTGGAGCCAAATAAGAAAACAATTTTCTCTTCCTTCAGAAATTATAGCTACACTACTCTTGATTAATCCTTTCATGGTATGAGTCTTCTGAATGCCATGCCATGAAAGTACGGCTCTTGACAACAAAAAAAATTGTCCTGTCTTAATTACTACTATTGTTACTATTATAGTTTCTTAATTGCTACTATTGTCTCCCCTATTATAGGGGATGTTGTCATGGACAAAGATTCAATTGTTTTCAACAGTATAAAAACAGAGAATAAATAGATACCATGTTTGAAAGACTTTGTGATCTGAATTTTGTGATCTGAATTATGTGATCAGTAAACTTTGGAACTGGAAAACGAAATGAGAAAAATTCGATTAAATTAACACATTTTGTCCAGTTATAGAATAATAAGCCAGCTAGGTAAGAGTTTGAAGGCTCCCACCTATTCTTCAGCCACTCAAACAGCTCTTATTTAAGAAATGCTGAACTTGCCTTCAGGAAAAGAATTAGGATGTTATTTTGAAAGCACCAATGTTTTTCTACTTTTGATGTCCCTAGATAATAACATAAGATATATTTCCTGGATAATAGATTGCTTAGATATTTTGTAGTTTAGTGTATTAATGTATGCATATACATTACATCAGTGAGACAAACCATTTGTGTTATTTGCCAGGCAGAACGGAACACTTTAGCTAATGCCATTTTATAAAAATGACTTCTTAAGTAAAATTCTTGAAGTTTTCTTTGTTCAGCCACATTTGCTTCAGAAATGTTTTCAAAGTCCAGGGTTTGCTAGTTGTTTCTGAGGGGAAAGCGGAGAAAAAGGGAAGCTGAAGAGTTCCCATTTTTCAGTGTTAATGTAGGCAACCCGGTCACTCTGTGCATGCGCAATATGCCGGCAGTGCCCTGGGCATGGCTGACACACACCTGCTCCTTGCTCCTGTGCCTCAGGAAGCCTGGTGCTCTTGGCAGCTGGAACAAATGGCTCCAGTGTCATGGAGGTATAGAGGAGTCCTGTTTATAGGGGTCTTTGCACAATTCAGCACGAAGAAACGGCATGGGCACAACCAGGTAACAAGTAACCATGGTTATTAAATACTTGCAAATCCGAAATACAACCTCCAGTGGCTTAAAAAAGCTACAGTTTGGTGGATAACATCAGATGATTCAAAAAACACTTAGAGAAGAACTGTGCAGATCTCCTTTCCCTCTGACATAAAACATGCACTGAGAGTTTTGAGTTACCCATGTTGAGAGATCCATCATTCATCACTTGCCTTTTTGTGATATGATAGTGAAGACGTAATGTAGTCTATCCCATCTATTTATTTTGACAAAGCAATTTGAACTCTTCTGATAAGACTGCTTCATTTCATTTACAACCAGCACACAAGTGCCAATTCTTAAAAATAAATCTTAAGGGCTTCCCCTGTCTGCTTTGAATTAGTTAAGTTCATAGAAGATATATCAGTCTATTTACAGTAGGAATGAGCAGCAAGTTCAGACTTATGTCCCTGGCACTTTATGTGGATTTGCTGCTGCAGAGTACTTGACTGTTTTGAAGTATGCAGGAGCAGCATGTTTAAACATGCACTGTGTTTGCTGGCAGCCTTCACCTTCTTTTACCACTCGCTGTATTAGTCTAGTCAGTGCAGTTCTTATTCACTCTTCAATTTGAAAATAATTTTTTTCTTCTAGTTCCTGAATTTCTCAGTACCTGAGGACACCTACAACTGTCCTGGGACTTAAGTATTAGAAAATGCTGCTGCTATATGCTTAGAAGTTCTTTTCAAGTAAACAAAGCTGGAAACAATTTTCCTGCCCATTCATCCATAAGTGACATACACTTAAGTGACACTGAACCATTTCTAGTTCTAATCATACTGTCATCATGGCTGGGCTTCGTGAACAAAGATTTGGGAAGGGCTCTACCCACGTTTGTCACAAGCGCGTTGGTGGCTAAAAAGGCCAGTACGGGATAGGCACGTCCGGTTGCAAAAGGTACAGCAGAAGGACTCTTTAGGTGGTAAATTCAGCAAGACAAGATTCTTTCTGCATTGTCTTTTCTCCTCAAGAGTGATCCTGTGTGCGTTCTCAAAAGCATCAGCAGCGTTATAGATGGTGTGTCTCCAGGCCTCCCGATTGAAGGCCAGAGTAGACCAGTTATGATGATCAGTATGGCCAGGGCTGAGATGTTGTTTCAGGGAGTCCTTGTATCTTCTCTTGGGGGCTCCTTTCTTGTGGCAGCCGGTGGTAAGCTCACCATAAAACATGATCTTAGGGAGGCAGTGGTCCTTCATCTTTGAGACGTGCCCTGCCCATCGCAGCTGTGCTCTCAGCAGCATGGCCTCAATACTTGTGACTGCTGCTTGTTCTAGAACAGATGTATTGGTCACATAATCTGACCAGTGGATGTTTAGGATTGTACGGAGGCAGCGTTGATGGAAGCGTTCTAGGAGACACAGGTAGTGGCGGTAGATGACCCATGATTCAGATCCACATAAAAGAGTAGACAGCACTATGGCTCTGTAAACACTGATCTTTGTACTTTTCTTCGTGTTTATTTTGCCAAACTCTTTTATGAAGCTTTCCAAAAGCACTATATGCCTTTGCTAACCTGTTGTCTATCTCTCTGTCAATCCTACCATCCGAGGAGATGAGGCTACCTACGTAATTAAACTGCTGGACTGATTTGAGCTCTGATTTGCTGTAACATTTGTCAAAAGCAAGGATTTAGCTGTAAGGCACCTTTCCAGTGTCCTTGCTCACTATCTCCAGTAGCAAACTGGTAAGGCATATTCAATCTGTTATGCTTAGCCCTAGCCCTGACACCTTGATGCCATAATAATTTGTTTCACACAACTCATCTAAATCCTTACTCTCTCTTCCCACGTAAGAAAAAAATAGGTTTCTGGTGTTAGATGTGGGTTCAGGTGGTTTACCTGTTCCTCTTTAATTTACTGAAACTTGTGTGACTTGCTCCACCCTTTATTCTGAAAGAATTAATGACATGTCCAAAGTTTGCTTTTTAGATGCATGTTTCAGTTTCGTTATGGTCTTTAGGAATGGAGTTTTCAGCCTGTGTGCATTTAATTTAGAACACATTTGACTGAGAGGCCAGGCTCCCCCAGCAAGGTCAACAGTCCTCTCTACGTGGAAGAGAGATTTTTTTTTTTCTATTTTTCATTTCGATTTTTTTTTCTATTTTTCATGTCTATTTTTTTTTTCTATTTCTCTGCAAGACCTGGGAAAAGTCTATAATTGAAAAATACATATTTTATTGTGAACAATGATCTGCATTTAAAAGAACTAATGGTGGTTCTTCATGACTTTGCTTGAAAAGAAATATCACGTGTTTTTCCTGTGGTACTTTATCTTTCTTAAATAAAAAAAAACATTCACTGAAAGGATATCAGAGCCGAAAGGCAACTCAAAAATATTAAAATATGGAAAAAAAGTAGGTATATCCTAAATATAATTTATCAAAACACCAATCCTCTTCTTCTTCAGTGATGCTTCTTAATCTATCTGTAAACATCTCAATCACTGAAAGATTTTAAGTTCTTTTTTCATGTAAAGGAAGCTAACTGCTCTGCAGCTGCCTCTTTGGACCAGCTACTGGATATCTATATAACTATATATCTCGTAGAATCAAGTTCCAGTGTATATATGGACATTTTTTATTCAGAAATAAGATTTTGTAAGACTCCTAGGTATTTTAAACACAGGTTTTATTATATATATATAAAACATAGTTTAAACTATATAAATACATTAATATAAAATTAAAATTATTTATATTTTTATATTAAAATATGATTTCAAACTGTAATTACATATAAAGAGTAGCTAAACTGATTTAATGTCCATCTACAGGAAGTATTAAGAATGATGTACAACATGAGTCCCAGTGTACTGTGCTGGACAAACACTGCATTGTCTCAGTTTAAACTGCTGATGGTGAAACAGCGCTCCCTGATGTCCAGCGAGCGACTTGGAAGTCTAAAAGTTTCATTTTTCCCGATATTCTTGGATGAATTGTTCAACAACCCTCTAAAAACTGTAGTTAATAAGTTGAGAATCAGCTAAGTCTATTATATCATGCAGAGGACTTAAGTAGAGTTCTGTTTCCTTATCGTCACGGTGTTCAGGCATCAACCTTTCCACACTGACGTTTTTCCGTAGTGTTTCCAAGTTGAATCCTTGAATCATCCCCATCTCAACAATCCTACATCAGGCTTCAGAGTCCTGCAAGGAAAGAAAGGTGGAGTTCCAGACGTTCTCACAGCTCTTTCTCGTAACTTCAGTTTCCTCAGAGTCTGAGCCAAGGTGATGCAGCTCATCTGAATTAGAGCAGAGCCCTTGGTCCTGGCAGGAAGGGGACAGCACACTGGGGGAAGAGAGTGACAATACCTGTTCAATAACTTGATCATGACAAAATTTTGAATGAAAAGAAAAAAAACTTTTAATATTTAGTTGCAGAACCACCAGCTCAAAAATTATTTTAGAAAGGGGAGACTTGCAGGAAAAACCATACAAACCCTGTAAAGCTCTGTGTGGATAAAGACTTACATTGTAAACCATTTTTTACCGATTTAAAGGTATAAAGAATAAGGAAGCATGCACATCGTAATTATCATTGCAGTTATGTTTTCCAGTAGGGGGAAAAAAAAAAAGTTTGTTTCCTGGTCTGAATGGTTTAGATGGTTGTATGGAAGTTTCTGTACCCTGCCCTTCCTCTGTTTTTCACAGTTATCAAATTAACAGCAATTAATTGATGAGTACTTTGAATTCCTTAGATGAAAAGTATTATGCAAAAATAAAGAACAATTTAATGAAGGGTAAGTCAATGTGAACATGTGCATATGAAGAGACAACCTCAAAGAAACAGACTTTTGCCTGACTGATGTATTTGGTATTATCTCCACTCCGCTGACAAGTTTCCTGATTTCAGCCTGTTTCATACAGAGATGTTGTTAGTTACTACATTTACCACTTGATATGTCTTTTATCTCCCTACCTGATCAGACACTTGGTATGTCCTTTCCCTGAATATGCTCACTAACTCAGAGCACCTAAATAATCTAGCAATTAATTAATACAAGGAAGGAGTAGAGGCCTCTCTTCTCATTATCATAACAGATGAGGCCAGTTACACTTTAATTGGCTTGTACAGGAGGAAACAATGAAAATGGATGTATTTCTTCCTGGATAAACCTTTAGCTCTTATAACAAAAGGCAACATTAAGATTTCACACTGAATCTTGCTAGTAAAGGGAAATTTTGATTC